ATATGGACGAGTTCTTCGGAGGGCACTACGCGTCTTGGTGATTGAATGAAAATTGTGCTTGACAATAAGGTCCAATGGGTGCAATTAGTTCAAAGCAGTCGCTCCACAAATCCTAAAGCTAATGCGCGTACACGTAACTGAAAGACCCATTCAGTGTTTCTGATGTGACCAAATAGTTCTTGATTCAGACAGGGTAGATATTTTAAATAAAAAAATAAATGAACTAGTTTTCCGTATGAAAATTATGACCTAAAGTGGTACATTATTTTTAGGTGCTTTTTGTAAATTCTTCATATCGTATGCATGGCATTCATAATGAACAATATTGCAATGAGGCATGACTAAATCTCATCCAGAGGCACATTGGACACGTAGTTCAATCGGCGCTTCAGTGTTCCTCTCATCTCAAAATCTTTGACATTCTTTACACATCTACATCTGTCTTTGAAAAGCTTCCTTCGACTTGAGATTATGCAAATTTTCACGGAGTAATGCAGTACGATTCGATACCTGGAACAGGATACCATCCCCAGTGCAACCCAGCCTCCCTTCCCTTGGACGATGCTTCTCTATCTTTATCGAGGGCGATAGTAATGGATGTAATCGGTAACGCCCCCAAATTCGGTCAAACCGTATTGATTTCTATGTCAATTTTTGACTTTGCAAGGAGATTGAATACCACACCATAACCCATCACATACTTAGGAAATTTTGCGGATTTTCTGGGTCCAACTTATCAGAAAACGATTAAGTTTATTGAGATTGTAGGCACTCAACCACTGGTCGTGATAGCCAAAGTCAAATGATACTGTGTAAATGAACTAACCACTACCTTAAACAACTCCTGGCGTCACAGATTGTATTGGCTAACATTGTATAACAATTAACCAAACACTTCCGTGTTCCAGTTTTGATTACCGTCTTCTGGCTGCTGGTTTCCATGTAGTAGAAAAATGATTAGAAAGATGTAGGAAAGAGTGGAGGAAGAAATGCAGAAGGCGGTCAGAATTGGCACTTAGCGCAATCCCAGCACCAGCGACACCGAGAGCGTCGGATGTCGAATCGTGGGACACACGAACAGCAAGGCGTGAAGATCAAGTTGGTTCAGGTAAATGCGGGGTTGTGATTAAAATAGGGTTTTCTGTGCGCTCCCGAGAGACAACACATGTCTAAATTGAAAGTTTCAAGAGTTGTAGCTAAAGCGGTTTGTTGATCGATCTCAGAGAGCTTGTGGGCATTAAAAAGGGCATTTTGTATTTAACGTATAATTTCTGAATTGTTGACTTTAGTTGTCAAATGCTGATGGGTGGTGGAAACGAAAGGCACCTGGGATTATTCGCGAGTGATTGGTAGAAGATGGAAAAGAGGTTTTTCCAAACGGTTGCCTAAGAGTTTGAGTCTTTTGAGTCTTCTACTCAGATGCCTGACCAATAAGGTAGTGGGGTGAAGATCCAACGAGGGAGCGTAACCGAAGTACTATTGTCATAACTTTTGAAAACCTGTCGCACATAGTCTTCGGGTTTCGGTTCATTCTATTGCTCGGTGGTGCGTTGATTTCCGGTCTGCTTTTCGGGACTGGCCGTTAGTATCGTGCACCCAATGAAATAAGTAGAACGTAGATGGAAAGGCACTATGTCGCCTTGGGGCTGCCTAGCTTGGGCAGGTAGTACCTGTCCAATGAAGTGTGAAACCTTCTTCCACCATGTTTATTTGCTAGAGTGAATTCTCAAGGGGCGAGAGTCGGTAGACAAAGGAAGCCAGGAGGTCCCCAAGTAGCTGGCCTTGTGAAACTCTACACATTGATCTTCCAGGCCCGAATGGATCTGCGGCTGTGAAAAGCCATCGTGTGTAGCTCACAGGATACACCCAAGCAATCAATCACGTCAAGGGACAATCTCATTGTGATGGTTGTGTTTATCAGAGCTCGATATTTAAGAAAACAATCAGAAACATTACCGGGCAGTCAAACAAAAACCTTGATTTATTATAAGCAACTTTTAGATTTTGTGAAATTCGATGCATTCCGCTGATCTGTTTCTGTCTCTTAAATGTACTGAATAATTTGGTTGCATCTATCATTGTATTCGGTTAAAAGAAACACGTGTTGCCCGGTCCAAAATTCAAAATGAAACATAATTAATCGATGGAAAAGCCATTCTGATCGAAAGTGATTTTATGACATCACGTGACATAAAGCAAACAACCTGTCATATGTCTTAATGTGTAAGTAACACGGTCAGCACTCTATTTTGGAAAATTGGTATTTACACCCTCACTTCGGGTTTCGTTTTGGTGTAGTAGAATGACACTAGAACGCACAATTACTTAGCACGATTCTTAAGTGTTACATCAACTCTATTTCCAGTCAGATGTTGGTACACGATTATAATTCGATCTGCGAATTCATTGGTTCATATCTGTGATCCTGATTTATTCTCGCATGTCGTAAACGTGCCGGTCTCTCATAGTCCCAACATCGTGAAGAGGTCAGAATGTTTTTGAATGTAATTTACGATTGTTGTCTATTGATCTATCATCTATGAGTGATCTTCAGGTGCCTCAATGAATCAGCATGTCACATGTATATTAGTTCGGAAGTGAGAGTTTCAGGGAGGGAATTACACTGAGGGATTTACACATACCTTACGTATTGGTAACTTTTTCACACAAATGAATTGAGCCCTATTGAAAATGGCTATTATCATCAATTAAGCCGTTGACATTGGATAGGATATGAAAGACGAAAAAAATTGTTTGGACAGATTAAAGAGTTTCTGATATATTTCTAATTGCTAAACAACCTAAGGTGCCTAGATTCTATGTAGATTGGAAATAACAAATTTGTAAGTTTCAACTTCATTATGTGATTGTGCGTCCTGGCCCGTCCCATCCCGTGCTCCTATCTCCTCCCACACACACACACCTGACGGGTTCTCCCACCGTTTATTCATAAACACTGACATTTTAGTTCGTCTGACATTTTGCACGTACTTGTACGCGAGGTAAAAGGTCATGTTTGGAAAAAAAACGGTTCCCTCCTAAAATGTAGAAGACAATTGTGAACTTTATTTATTGGATAATTAACACCTTAAAGGGGAAATACCATGTGTGCAGCATAGCAACACGTATGCATGTTTAATGTAATGCCACATAAAACCTTTTTTCACTGATTTCTTGTACAAGCCGTATGACTGGTTCATTGGTTGCTAACCGTTTCATGGAAAAGTGGTTCTCCTGAATATTGATAGAAATTCGGCACAATATCTGAATC